TCCATAAAATAACAGGTGAATATTTATTGTCAATCCCAAAATGCTGTTGACATACATAGGGAAAAATACAAATCTCTCTTTTTTTTTTTTTTTTTCTTTGCTAGAGAGCATGTGCACTCACCAGAGGTGGGGGAGAGGAGGAAGCACCTCCCATGGGAAACGGTCCTGCCACAATCCCTTTTCCTCCCTATCCTTTCGGGATTTGGGACAAGCAAATACCTGGTGCTTTTCAAGCTTCTGGGTCTGGGACTTGAACTGCACTGTCAGCCATTTGGGATCCAGCTGCCTTCGCCAGCAGACCACAAGGCTGTCCCACAGTGCTATGGCCTGGAGGTTAAGGGATCTGGATGCCAAATAGCCATCTGTGGATGTCTGTGACTGAGTGGTCATGCTAAGGCCCCCAAACCACAAATTCAGCTTTTGCAGAACTCATTAACTCTACCACTCTCTCCTATCAAAATGTCTAAGGTTTATGGCACCTCAACTGTAATGGAAGGGTGTAACACGTGTTCACAAAAGGAGAACGTTTTTTATTTTGTTTTTTAGGTTTTTCCTATAGGGCACATGCACTCACCAGAGAGAAATAGAGGGGAAGTGAAAAGTTACCCCCTGGGTGATAGCCATGCCTCCGTCCCTTCTCCTCCACTCTCCACTTGGGATTCTAGGCATGCATGCACACACCCACCCAGTGTGGTTTTTCAGGCCGCCGGGTCTAGGACTGGAACTACGGTCAGCCGTGTGGAAGTCCAGCACCTGAACCATCACACCACCTGCTGGGCCCAAGGAGAGATATTTTTTTAAAAATATTTCAGTCATAAGAGGGTGAGCCCCAAAGTACCATGGTCTACTGTGTGGAATTTCTGAACCCCTCATAGAAAAATGGTAACCCAGAAGAAGCCGTCACATGATTGGGTTAGCAGAAAACTCCCCGTAACTAATACCAGGAAAGTTTTAGATCTCTGAATGCAGCGTGGTTGAATTTTTTAAAGATGCCTAGCCGTGCAGCTCGAAGGGAAACTATTAGCATACGCGTCCTTTTGTGATCTATTCTGGGGACTCCTTTACCCATAATGCCTTGCGTTTCCTAAGAATAGAGGTGGGTAGAGGGCAGCAGTTGGTATTCCCAGGGCATCAGTGCCGCTGAGAGGATGGACCCCTTTGTGTGTGAAGAGGGTGTACACTTCCAGCCGGTCGATAATCCTGAAACGCCCCAGCGCCATTTCACAGTCCTGGCCCCAGCTCCTCCATCCTGGCCCCCGACATGGGAGAAGTTCACACACCTTGTACAGTTGGCCGTCTATCCTTGGTTCAAGCAGTTATGGACGTCGAAAACACTCCATACCGAGCACCTATGGAGTGAAAAAAAATTTTTTTTAAGTTTGGGCCAGCAGATGGCATGGAGGTTAAGGTGTCTGTATCCCACATGGTCAGTTGCACCTTTCGAGTCCCAGACCCGGCAGATGAAACACTCCAGGCATGTGTATGTGTCCCAGATCCTGAACCCCCTCTGGGGGCTGCTGTCTGTCTGTCTGTCTGTGTCTCCAGTGAGCACATCTACCCTATGGCAGGGGGGAAAAAGTTTCATCAGTGAGTGAGTGAGAGAAGACAGACAGACAGACGGCCTGCTCCCCAACAGGGCCTGAATGCCACGATCCACCCCCAGACTTCAGCCTGCCCCGGATCGTGGACATGCTCATGCTCAAGACCTCAGGGAGGTCTCTGGATTGGATCAGGAACCTTCCGTGTCGGATGCCCCGCGACACCCTGCTGGCTCCCGCCCGTGGATTTTTGGCATCCATGAGAGTTCTGGAACCAGTCCCGTGGATACGAGGGGACAGCTGTACTAAATCTCTTTCTCCCCCCTCTGTGGATGTCATCTTAGATGAGTACCTGGCTCGTGATCTCTGTTTCGTTTGGCGACTTGAGAAAGTCGATGAAACTGGGCGTTCCTGCCTGTCTCTTATTAACACCTAGCCCACGGAGAGGTCGCTGTCTTTGGCCTGTGACGCAAATGCAGCTTGAGTTTATTAGCGAGCTATGAGGGAGGGCAGTGGGCAGTACGACTGGGGTTTTGTTCTCAGTGCAGCCAGTTTTCAGAAAAATTATTTCATTTATATTTTAACTTGATCAGAGAGGGGCAGAGAGAAAGTGAGAAAACAGCCTGCCAAGCCCAAGGCTCAAACCATGGTCAGCCACGTGGGAGTCCAGCACCCTTAACCACCATGCCACCTGCCAGCCCTTCTTTCTTTCTTTCTTTCTTTCTTTCTTTTTTTAAGAGAGACTTTTGCTGTAGGGTGTGTGCACTCACTGGAGAGACAGAGAGAGAGAGAAACAGAAAGCGAGAAATCAGCCCCTAGGGTGGCCACGCCATAGTCCCTTCTCCATTCTCCGCTCAGGATTTTGGGCACGCACGTACACGTGCCTGTGTAAGTCTTAAGCCACCAGGTCTGGGACTCAAACTGTGGTCACCTACGGAGGATCCGGCAGCGTGACCATCATGCCGTCTGCTGGTCCCCGCGGGGTAGCCATTTTTCTGCTGGTGGTGCCAGGAAGTGGGAGAGCAGTAGTGAGTGGCTCTCCTGGCCGACACTGCGCTCCTGCTTCTCCGGGGCCCGGGCCTTTTGTGGAAGTCCTTGTGTTAGTGTCGGACTCTGGTAGTGGCCTCTGTTAGGGTCCTCCCAGCTGGCCGAGGGGGTTCTGATGGGGAAGGAGTGAGTCGGGCCGGAGGAGATGTGGCTTCGTTAGCCCAGCCCAGCAGATGCTGTCACTGTTGGGCAGACTCGGCTCTTGCCGGGCCTTTAGCCAACACGTACCTATTGGGCAACAGAGAAGCATTTGGACGTGTTCTGTGTCATACCTTATCAGTTCCGGGAAGTCGGTGCCAATCTGATACAGTGGTTAAGAGTGTCGGTTTACTGTCACCTCGGTCTCGGTTCAGACCTCAGCCAGGCCACGCAGGGGCAGTGTAACCTCGAGCTGGAGAGCCGAGTGGGTGAGGGGCATGGGCCTCGGGGCACAGAGATGGCAGCAGGACCTGGCTCTTCTTCTTGTAGGATCTGTGACATAGTGAGTTACTGTGGGAGATCACCTGGGCCTGGCCCCTGTAAGGGCTCCGTGAATTGCGGCTTGGTCGAGTTGAATTCGCTCACTTTGCAGGTGAGGCTCAGAGAAGCTTGGAGGCACACCAGGGTCACACCCCGACACATGGCAGGGCCAGCCTCACGCCGGTGTGCAGGCCTGTTCTGTCTTCAGGGTCATGGGGCGCGGGGTCTGCTGTGGGTGAGCCTGGGCTGGATCCAGGTCTCTGTTTCAGGAGTCTGACCGTACTTAGTGTTGGTTCGTGGTCCATGGCAAGAACTGAAGAACCGTGTGAAAATGTGTTAAGGCACTGGGGGAAGCGGGGTGGCCTGGAGTGGCAGTTTCTGGAGAACCAGAGCCCTGTTGCCCCTAAAGGCAGAGCAGTGGCTCGAGGTTCTAGAAACCATTCCAGCTGCACAGACCCAGCCGGGCGGCCTGGAGCGTTGGTCGTTGTGCACTCGGGGTGGCCACTTCACACCTGAAAAAAGAGTGAGTTAGGGCAGAGATCTGGGGAGACCGCACACCTTCCCACCATGTGGGCTGACCCGTTCCTAGTGGATGACAGCCCTCCCTCCGTCCGGAAGAGTCACAGAATACGCTACTTTTCCTGGAAACAGGGTCCCTGTGAAAGCTGGTGTTGGCAGGTTCGTGTCACCTTCCCGTGCCAAGCAGGTCTCCTGGTGGGGCCCCTTGAGGCTCCCCCTGCCTGTGCTGCAGACTGTCCGTGTTGCCACACTCCTCTCTCCTAGTGTCTTAGTCCATTACTGTGATGGTAACAGGGATGCCCGAGGCTAGGTGAATTAAAAAGAAAGGTGTTAATAACTCACAGCTCTGGGGCCAGCAAGTGGTGTGGTGGCTAAGGACACTGGACTCCCACGTGGCTGACTGCGGTTCAAGTCCAGGACCTGGCGGCTTGCTTGCTTTCTCTGTCTCTCACTCTGTCCCTCTCTGGTCAAATGAAAAATAAACAAGTAAATAAAATAAATAAAGTTCAATACAATAATTCTTTAAAAATTAATAAAATAAAATAACTCACAGCTCTGGTGGCCGGAAAGTCCCAGGGCATCACAAAACAGTGAAAGGCAGAACTTTTAGCAGAGCAAAGCCTGTGTGCATGCGGCTCCCCCTCTGCCTCTGGTCTCGTTTTCTCCGTTTACGTATCCACACAGTCAGATCCCAACTTGTGGATTTCAGAGCAACATCCATCCACTGCCCGCCAAGGGCAGATTCCAAAACATGAAGCTTTGCGAACAAGCCCCGATCCAAACCATAACACACAGTGTTGCCTTAGCTCTGACAACCCTTCTCTCCACAATCTCGAGTGACGCTCGCTCAGAGTCTCTGAAGTGACAGCCCTGTCCTCGGTCACAATTCTACTGTCCCAGTCCTGGCATCCTGTAGGCTCCCGCCACACACCCCTCCAGTGTTCCAGGCCCTCGCTGCAGGCTGCACCACCTCCACTTCCCAGCCCCTAGTCACTCACCTTCGAGAGCGTGCGCCCTGGGAGAGTCGGAGCTGCATCTGGTGCATGCATGCTCCTGACCGCCGTGGGGCCTCTGCATTCTGGGTGCCAGGTGGGTGCAGGGGAGGACAGGGTTTGCACAAACAGCCTGAAGCGTTTCAGTTAGTTTATCACTATCAAGTGCTCTTCACCTGCTGTCACAGCGGTTCCGCAGAGGTGGCTTTGGAGCCAGGCCGGCCTGCTAGAATCTGGAGTCCATCGCATCCCGGCTCGTTGACCCTGGACGAGAGCCTTGTTTAATCTGTCAGAAAGGGAGAGTGCACACCTGCCCTGGAGGTGTGGTGAGGAAGTGCTCGGGGCAGTCCCGGGCATACACCGTGTTCCTGCCTTCGTCTCCCAATGTCCCTTTCCTCTGCCGGTTCCCCCGACCCGGACTGATGAGTCGGTGATTCCCTTCCAGATGTCCAACATCACAGTCACCTACAGAGACGGCCGAGTGGCCCAGCTGGAGCAGGTGTACATCCGGGGCAGCAAGATCCGCTTTCTCATCTTGCCCGACATGCTGAAGAATGCACCCATGTTAAAGAGCATGAAAAATAAGAACCAAGGCTCCGGGGCCGGCCGGGGAAAAGCTGCTATTCTGAAGGCCCAAGGTAGGTTGGGCCTGGCGTAAAATACTGCCTTCTCGCGGACCTTTTCGAAAAGAGCCTATTACTGCTGGGGAATGGGATGGACCTGACCTTAGCCAGCTCCACACCCACTTCCACCCCTCTCCCTGCAGCCCTGGGGGATCCTGCATGACGGCCTGGGGCCTTGCCCGGCCCCTCTGTCTTGGCTGACCTGGTCCCAAGCACAGTAGCTCCTTAGGAACGAGGTGGGGGCCCTGTCTTTAATGAAAGAGTCAATGACTCCCCTGGAATGAATTTCTAGGGGCCATCTCTCTGGAAATTCTGCCCTCGAGGCCTGGGCAGCTTGCTGACGTCCTCTCTGTCCTCTCTGCCGTGAGCGAGCTGGCTCTTGAAGCAGTGGGACGGTATTTCCTGAGACAGGCTGCTGCGCGTTCATTCCCAGCATGGACTTGGGGAAGTGCTGACCGTGGGGAGCCATTGTTATATAAATAAGCATAGTGAATTATCTTGGGGGGGTTGCTGGACTTTATTTTCAAATCTTATATTTGAAAATAAATCCTTTAGCACATTCTGCGAGTGGAATTGGCCTTTTGCAATGACTTAAGCTTGTTCTTTCTTTCTTTTTTTTTTTTTAATAGTTACTTATTGTATTTGTTGTTGTTATTTAATTTGAGGAGAGAAGGAGGGAGAGAGAAAGTGAGAGAGCAAGCTGCCAGGTCCGAGACCTGAGCTGTGGTCGGCCATGTGGGAGTCCAACACCTTAACCCCCATGCCACCTGCCGACCCCAGTCACCCTTTTTTTCTGAGTTAGCCCAGTTGGGTTTTTTATTTGGGTCCCTGAAAGTTCGGCCACCTTGATTAGATGAGAAGACAGGCCCAGCCACAGTGGCATGCCCGGCCACGATGCTGTGCTCCGCTGGCTGGGTCCATGTTGGGGAGAGGACCGGGTTCAATTCCCACTCCAGCCTAAAGTGCTAAAGTGTGGATATGGTGGCGTGTGCCTATCATCCCTGTGACCTGGAGAGGCTGAGGCAGGAGGATCCCATGGCACTTTTTTTTTTTTTTTTTTAAGCAAGCGTAGTCATTAGAAACTGTCTCCGTGTTAGTGCAAAGATTCAAAGTTAGGAAAGGCACTGGGTTCTCCGTTGATATCTTTAGCTGCTGTGCGTATTAAATGTGAGGCAGCCTTTCAGTTTAAAGATAAAACTGTGATTCTTCCAAGTGCCCTTAAAATAAAAAGATCAGAGAAATCTCCTTGCCCTTCCTTCTTAGACTGCAGGCAGCTGTGACAGAAAACCAGGCTCTGGAGCTTTGGTCCTAGGGAAGAAAGTGCTCTCAGAAGTGTTGGCTTTGGGGCTAGCACTGTACATCTCAGCTTCATCGGGAGGGCTGCCCTTGTCACGGCAGCTGCGCCACCTCCCCAGCAAACGGTGCACCCCATGCCTGGGCACCAGGGGCCCTTAGCCATGGCTTTGCCCAGGCCCCTTGACCTCTGCCCGAGCCATCTGTGGCTGTCCCAAGCCCCTGCTTCGGTCCAGTCAGCAGGTGGGTGAGTTCTCACGTGAATTCTCTCTCTCTCTCCAGGGTGGCTCCAGCTCTGTGAGAACAGAGGGTTACGCCCCAGGTCGGGGCTCTCAGAATATGTCCGTCAGTCTTTCAGAGCCATCGATCCCTCCCCAGAGCCCCTGGGTCACAGAGCAGAATGGCTGTTTCTAGTTTCATTTCTTTACTCTCACATGAGAGAGAAAAAGAGACAGACACAGGCACCCTCAGCAGGGCCTGGCCTTGCCGTGGTCATTGCCCAGCCAGCCAAGAACATGGGTTCACCCAGTATCTCCATGTTGACACATGGCCCGAACCCAGGTCTCCCCTGTGGCTCCAGTGTCTCACAACTGCACCCTGTCACCTCTGTCACTGCATCTGAGCCTAGAAAAGCGATCTTGCCGTGCCCTTTTTCCCGGGAGTATTTCGTTCTTGCTATGATGAAAACATTCCTTACATCTAGGGGAGCTCAGTAATAAAACCCTTCATCCAGATTCAGCAGATGGTAACATTTAACTGTGTTTGTTTCCGAACTTTAAGAGGGAACTGAATGCGTGTGTAGAGTTTTATAAGCTCACCCCGGGGCGGGCCGGCACTGGGGATTCATCTTCTCTGTGGGTCTCAGACCACCTTCTCGCGTCCTGCCTCCCAGCCTGGAGAAGGCAGTGCTGGACGTGGAGGCAGGAGTTCCTTGCCAGCTCCCACTCTTCCTGGGTCTCCATCCCGCTGTGAAGCGCAGTGGCTCGGGGTGGGGTTGCACCAGGTGGCCTTGCAGGTCCCTTCCAGCACTGATGTCCCAGGCGCTCACTGACCCAGCCTCCTCCTCTCTCTTCTTTCTTTCAGTGGCTGCGAGAGGAAGAGGTCGTGGAATGGGACGTGGAAACATATTCCAGAAGCGAAGATAATTTTCCCTTGAACAGAACTTTCGGCCCTTCTTTTTTCTTTTGGGTTATCTGGGTTCTTGGGGTTGGGTGCGTGTGTATATGTTACAGGTTTTCTTCCGGCATCTTTCTCTTTAGATCAGAGGAAATGTTAAACTAAATAAACCCGGCTGTTTGGTTTTGGGTTTGACTTTCTTTTTGAGAAAATAAGGACTGTGTGTTCATTTCAGAGTTTGTCTTGGCAGCGGGTCGGATTTTGACACCTGGGAGACGTGCTGGGGAATGCCAGTCCTGTGCAATAGCATGGCTGCTGATAAGAGGTTACGCTGCCGTCCTGGTTACGTCCCAGAAGCGTTCACCCCAGAGAAGCTCTGAGAACACGCAGGCGGTGTTTGTCCTCAGACACAGGCACCAGATGTGCAGCTAGCCCGTAGAGATGCCATCGGCATTGTCCAGGCAGCCCGTAGAAACGTCCTCAGCTCCGCTTTGAGAAGGTTGGGGCGTCCTGGCCCACAACGGAGGCCAATACTCTGACCTGTAGAGTTGGGAAATCCGAGTGGCTTCCCATTGGAGAAAGGTCATCTGATATTCAGCAGTTAGGTCCTGGCGGCCAGACTCTGTGGCCCCAGTGCTGGCTGCCCAGGATGGTGGAGGTTCAAGGTGGTCGTTGAGCCAGAGCATCCCAGTGTGAATCGGCACGCTCAGGTTTCTTTTGTGTGTGACATTGTCACAGGGTGCTGTGGTCAGAGAGAGCGCCCCTTAGAGAGAGTGGCCATGCCACAGCGTTCCTGTTTCTCATTCCTGTCAAGATTTTGCACATTCGGGAGCAGCAGACGGTGTAATGGTTACCTTGCTGGACTCCCACATAGTAGCCCACAGTTCAAGTCCCAGACCCGGTGGCTTAAACTTGTGCCAGGTGCACGCAAGCCCAAGATCCTGAGAGGGGAATGGAGGAGAAGGGATTGCAGCGTGGCCATCCGCCCTGGGGGTCATTTCTCACTTTCTGTCTGTCTTTTCAGTGAGTACACACATGCTATAGCCAAAAAAAAAAAGGATTTTGCTTGTTTCTAAAGCCTGTGGGGCTGCATTCAGACCATTTTTTTTTTTTAATAAGATTTTTGCCATAGAGCACCTGTTCTCACCAGAGAGAGACAAAGAGACAGTGAGAGGTAAAGGCCACACCACAATCCTTTCTCCATTCTCCTGGAATTTTGGGCATGCGTGCCTATGAGCATGGCATGATTTTCAAGTCACCAGATCAGGACTCCAACCATGGTCAGCCGTGTGGGCGTCCAGCGCCGTGACCACCATGCCGCCTGCTGACCCCTCCCCCGCAGGTTTTAGTGTAGAAGAGCGAACGAGAGACGGTAAAGTATACAAAGTGAGTAATTGTGACGAGCAGAAATCCGAAAGGCAGCCTGAAGGAGGCAAACACTGACGAGAGGTCTCGCCAGCTTTCAGTACAGGATGAGCCGTCGCATAAATCCTCAAGAGGAAGAGAGATCAGTCATTAGCTCTTAAAATATTGCTCACTGGGGCCAGCAGGTTGTATGGTGGTTAAGAGCGCTGGACTCCCACATGGCTGACAACGGTTCGAGTCCCAGACCTGGCAGCTTGCTTTCTCATTCTCTCTCTGTTCCTCTCTGATCAAATTAAAAACAAATAAATAATTCTTTTTAAAAAAAAAAAAATTGCTCATTGAAGAGATTATTCAAGTAACGGAAGAGAAAGAATCCAACCTATTGGTTAACCTGGCTTGAAGCAGTGCTTCTCTAAAAAGCCAGGTCTCGGGAACCAGCAGTTAGCGTAATGGCTATGTCGCTGGACTCCCACGTAGTCGACCGCGGTTCGTGTCCCGGACCCGGTGGCTTAAAACTCACGCTGGGCGCGTGTGCGTGCGTGCCCAAGATCCCGAGAGGAGAATGGAGGAGAAGGGATTGCGGCGTGACCATCCCCCCTGGGGGGTGATTTCTCGCTTTCTGTCTCTCTGTCTCTGTCTGTCTGGCGAGCGCACGCACCCTACAGTGAAAATCTCTCCAAAAAAAAAAAAAGCCGGGTCTCGTGACACGAACGAGATAAGAACTTTATTCTTTTTTGGAACACTGTATTTATTACCAGAGGGTACACGCACACCTCAGAGAGAAAGCACCCCCAAATGGCGTGGTCCTGCTGCAGACTATTTCCTCCAATTTCCTCATCCTGTCAGGGTATTAGCACACACCTGTGCCTGGCATGTTTTTCAAACCACTGGGGTGGGGACTTGAACCACAATCAGCGTGTGGGATCCGGTTCCTAATGCACGGCACTCAACCACTACACTATTGTGCCAGCCAACAGAATCTGATTATTGTAACACAAAGAGCTCAGGACTAAGCTTTCATAAGTCAGGCACTCAGCTTCGAAGGCCGCCTCCCCGGAGCAGCTCCTGTCCTGCTTCAGTGTTCTAGCTCCTTCGCTGCCTTTGGGTGACGGGGGGCTGGGAGCTCTCGCAGGCACTGCTGCTTCACAGAGGGACTCGAGGATTGGTGGCCTTTCAAATGAATTTACTGTGAATGGGATGAATTCATTTGGGGCTAGCAGATGCCATAGTGGTTAAAGGCGCTAGACTCCCACATGGCCGACCATGGTTCGAGTCCCAGACCTGGCAGCTTGCTCTCCCTCTCTTCCTGGTCAAATTGGATAATAACAATAATGAGTAAGATATATTTTTTTAAAAGTATAGAAAAAGAATTGTTTGGGAACCAGCAGTTAGCGTAATGGCTATGTCGCTGGACTCCCATGTAGTCGACCACGGTTCGCGTCCCAGACCCGGTGGCTTAAAACTCAAGCCGGGCGCGAGTGCGTGCATACCCAAGATCCCGAGAGGAGAATGGAGGAGAAGGGATTGCGGTGTGACCATCCCCCCCGGGGGGGGGTGATTTCTCACTTTCTGTCTCTATGTCTCTCTGTCTGTCTGGTGAGCGCACACGCCCTATAGCGAAAACCTCTCAAAAAAAACGTTTTTGTTTTAGGTTAACCAAGTGTTAATTTGTGGATATTGCTTCTGGTAAGAAAAGAAACTTACACATCGAGTTACACGTACAGCCATGTTGGATTACTTTCCTTCTCCCCTGCTGGTGACCTTGACTCCCAGACATTGATTAACTCACTTCTTTCTAACGCCTGCTGGACTGTTAATACAGCAAGGGAGAGCGAGAGTAATGGTGTTCAGCATTAACTGGGGGCGTAGTGGATAAGGCACTGGACTCCCACATGGCTGTCTGCAGTTTTAGTCCTGGAACCGGTGGGTTGCAATGCAGGGCGTGTGTGTGTGTATGTGTGTGTGTGCGCACGCACGCACGCCCAAAATCCCAAGAAGAGAATAATGGAAAAGGGATTGCGGCATGGCCACCTGCTCTGGGAGGTGATGTCTCACTTTCTGTCTCTCCGGCCAGCACACGTGCCCAATAGCAAAAATATCTCAAAAAAAAGGATAAAAGATTGTGAGGCTCGTACTGGTATGGGACCCAGAAATCTGCATCTTTTTTTATCTTGTGGTTTTTGCTCTCCAGAGAGAGAGGAAGTGAGAAGGTTACCCTCCCCGTGAGGAATGGTTACACTGCCATCCCTTCTCCATCTCTCCCTTTAAGATTTTGGGCACACGTGTACACGTGCCAGGCATGTTTCTCGAGCCACTAGGTTTGGGACGCAAACCACCGTCAGCCTTGTGGGGTCCAGCTCCTCAACCTGGCTCTGAATCTGCATCTTAAAGTCCTTGCACCCAGCGAATTGATTCTGATTCAGTAGGTGTAAGGCCACTTTTTTGGGGGAGGAGTGGGGGGGTTACTATAGGGCACTTGGGCTCGCCAGAAAGAGAAAGACAGACAGAAATCATCCCCCAGGGGGGATGGCCACGCCACGATCCCTTCTCCATTCTCCTCCTGGGATCTTGGCACGCACGCACACACGCCCAGTCTGAGTTTAAGCCACCAGGTCCGGGACTCAAACCATGGTTGACTACGTGGGAGTCCAGTGACAGCCATTACGCCAGCTGCTGGTCCCTTAAGGCCACCTTTTGACTCTGTTCTAGAATGTGGGTTTTCTTTGTTTCTTTTTATTGTCGAAGGGTACGTGTGCTTGCCAGAGACACAGAGCACTCCCTGATGGGGCACGGTCATGCCGCAATTTTCTTCCTGCATTGCTCCGTCCTATCAGGATTAGGGGTGTGCACACACTCATGCCCGGGTTGATTTTTCAGATTGCGGTCATCCAGATGAGATCTGCCTCTGTTGCATGGCACTTAACCACCATGCTAGGGGGCCTGCCCAGGTATGTTATTTTAGCGTAAGCAGTACTTATCCTGTGATATTTATGGTAAAAATAATAACACATTACAACTAAGTAATGAGTTGCCTGGACTGGCCTTCTAGCTTAGTGGTTAAGGGAGCCAGATCCCACATGGTCAATTGTGGTTAAAGCCCCCGTGACGGACGGTACTGCAGATGGCATGGTGGTTAAGGCACTAGACATTACTACATGGCCGACCACGGTTCGAGTCCTGGACCGGATGGCTTGCTTTCTCACTTTCTCTTTCTTAGAATAAATAAATCATTGAATAATTCTTAAAACGAAACAAAACAAAAAAAACAGTGGCTTGAAAAACATGTCAGGCATGCTAAAGTCATGAAGCCTGTTAAAGTAACCCTTGTTCCCCACCCCACTCCCTTTTTTTTTGGCTATAGGGCACGTGTGCTCACCAGACAGAGAGAGAGAGACAGAGAGACAGAAAGCGAGAAATCACCCCCCAGAGGGGATAGCCACGCCACAATCCCTTCTCCATTCTCCTCTCGAGGTCTTGGGCACGCATGCACACGTGCTCAGCGTAAGTTTAAGCCACCGGGTCCGGGACTCAAACCGCCATCGACTACATGGGAGTCCAGTGACATAGCCATTACACTAACTGCTGGTCCCCGTGCATCAAATATTGACAGGTTGGAGAAATGGAGGAGAGGGGGTTGAGAACACACGTGCCCTTCTGGCAATTCAAGGATCTGTCTGAAAACCTGACTTGGATGTGGTTCGCCCCTGAGCCATGCGGGAGTGCCAGCTACATGTGATTCTCCACATAAAGAAAGCTACCTGGGAACCAGCAGGTGGCATGGTGGTTAAGGCACTGGACGCTCCCACATGTCCGACCGTGGTTCGAATACCGGACC